CGGGAGACAGAGTTCTAAGTAATATTATTATTTTAAAGGAAACTTAACTCCAATCATGGTGGTGAAAATCAGTAATCAGAGTTAAGTGGGGTTTGCTAAAAATGTATGGGAAAATTGAGGTGCCCAAAAAAAACCAAAGGCCCCAAAAAACCCACAACAGTCAACGTACTGCCTGAAAGAGTCCTCAGTAATAAGGTCCATTTGCGGGACAAACACGCCAGGGTCTCCATTAAGCTGAGACCCACCAACTCCGCCCACCGGCATCCTATAAGGCAACAGAGCAAAGAGAGAGAATACGGAGACAGGAGTGGGAGGGTCGTTCTCAACATCTCTCTCTCCTCTCTGTCTCAACTATCTCTCCTCTCCTCTCTGTCTCAACTATCTCTCCTCTCCTCTCTGTCTCAACTATCTCTCCTCTCCATTCTGTCTCAACTATCTCTCCTCTCCTCTCTGTCTCAACTATCTCTCCTCTCTCTCTCCTCCTCTCTGTCCCAACTATCTCTCCTCTCCATTCCGCTCGTGTATTTTGTATCAACGGGAGTATTTTCCAGTGCGCCTGTTTTGTGCCTTGGAGTATTTTTTCTGTGTGAACCCTGTATTTTGCGGATTAAAGCCTGTTATTCTGTGATTTACCCTCCTGCGCCTGACTCCTTCAACACCACCTCATCACTCTCCCCTCTGTCTCAACTATCTCTCCTCTCCATTCCTTATAGCCCCTCTATCTTTCTCTTCTATCTCAGTCTCTACACACACTCCACACCTCTCCCAATGTGATGAGAGGGCATGATTAGATGGCTAGATAAGAAACATGAAGGAGAATGTTTCACCTATTCTCTGTAACACAGCCTTTTCTCTGCTACTGGATTCTCTCACCATACTGTATGTATTAGGTATACTATGATTCTGCCACACGTCCCCAACTTGGTGTCTTGTCTGTAGGAAGGGGCGAGCGGAGGCCAAAAAGTGTCGTAAGGTGTACGGAGTGGAGCGCAAGGACCAGTGGTGCACGGCCTGCCGCTGGAAGAAAGCATGCCAGCGCTTCCCAGACTAAACGAGTGCGTGAACGAAGGATGATGAAAGAGAGACTTGAAAAAAAGAGAGAGGACACGATCACGATCAGGGCCTGTAAGCCATCAAGAACAACTTTTTTTATACCTTGTTTTTTTTTCCCCTCAAGGAATAAAGTGATTTCTGTTTAGTTTTTTGTATACGTTGACCTGAGCAGTAAGTCAGTGTGTGATGGCGGTGCTAGTAGCTACTAGGTTAGACTGTGTTATGATGAGGTAGGCCTACAAGGCTCGTCCTTCCTAGCCTGGGTCCCAGACCGGTTTGTGCTATGTAGCATGGCAACGACCATAGGAGTTAGATATACACAGGGATGGAACTTTTTGGGCACTGGCTAGTAGCCCTGAGTAACATTCGGGTCCAAAGTATGCGCCATTGCGATATTTCTAAGAACAAACTTTGACTGGCCTGGTGGGCTAGTGTGGCACATTTCCTACTAGCCTGATCTGAACAGTACTAGCGGGCTAGCTTCATTTCCATCCCTGGTTGTACTTTTGAACAAGGCCCTTAACCCTTAACTGCTCTCCATCCAGAATTCTTCTTCTTCTTCTTCTATACAGCCAACATATCTGTCCCCAGGCTCCTTCCACCTTCCACTGAGAGCATGTCTCCTCACCTTCCACTGAGAGCATGTCTCCTCACCTTCCACTGAGAGCATGTCTCCTCACCTTCCACTGAGAGCACGTCTCCTCACCTTCCACAGTATGTTTTACACTCTTCTCGTTCCTTCAATCTCTTCCTCCAACACTTCATTCTTCCCTGTGGTCTCTACGGAGGTAATGGATACCTGTTACTTCTATATGGTGTGCTATCTATGAGTTCTTCCTTTGGACCATTTTGTGTTTGTGTCTCTTTTTAAAGGATGGCCTTTCTGTCCCGCCTGAGAGGTAGGCAGAGGTTTATGTCATGTTTTGGCACATTTTATTGAAATGTATTTTACAAGGATAGTGATGAATATGCTACATTTGGTTTGACTCGTTGTGGTTTGAATCAAGTCAGTTCCTTCCATACAGGATTTTACTCTTCCCCGTCTTGGTTAAGCATTGTTATGGTCCTGTCTGTATAAGCTACTGGACAGGATTGGGGTCAATTTGAATTGCTCGGTCAATTCAGGAATTAAACTGAAATTCCAATAGAAAAAATTGCATTTTATTCTCAATGATTTTCCAATAAATGGAAAAGGAGAAGCTATTTATTTCAAAAGCTTGTGAAGTTTTGAATTTATATTCAAATTACTTCCTGTATTGAGTATTGAGTGACTTCAATTGGAATTGAACCCAACCCTGCTATTGGACCACTACCAAGGGATCAGGCAATTAGACAACTGAATTTGTATTATCCTTCTAATGAAACAACAACAAAAACGTATTGTGTAACGTTATTAAAATGTATGCACTCACTAACTAACTGTAAGTCGCTCTGGATAAGAGCGTCTGCTAAAATGACTAAAATGTAAATGTAAATTAACACATTCAAATAAAGTACCCCACTGAGAATATTGGGCACTGACAATTTTCTGCACGGCAATCCACAAGAGAAATAGCAAACTCATTTATTACATTTTTTTGTCTATACAGGTGTCATTAAGACTTTTGAACAATGGTACACATTAGAAATGTACACCGTACTCACAAAAGTTATTTGTGTATGAACAAGAGACATGTACTCACAAACACACACACATGCACACATACACAGCCACATACACACATAACATTACCGCACACACACACACACACACACTCTAACATACCCCAGTACAGTACTGGATAAATACTGCCTAAAGGTATGCGTGGCGAAACAATATCACCCTCTATTACTAACAGGTGAAATTCTAACCTAAAACCATCACATAATGTTGTGTTATTGAGTATTTTCAGACATGCAAACAAACTCTATTCCATACAGTAACAAGAAGATAACATGCAAATATCTCTTGCCTTTTTATCAAAATCAGATAGGGTGGTAAATTCAGTTTGGTATGTATCCTGGAAGACAAATACAGGTCATGATCTACGCCCTGGTACCCCAATGGTGGAACAAGCTCCCTCACGACGCCAGGACAGCGGAGTCACTCACCACCTTCCGGAGACATTTGAAACCCCACCTCTTTAAGGAATACCTGGAATAGGATAAAGTAATCCTTCTACCACACCCCCCCTCAAAAAAAAAAACGTTGTAAAGTGGTTATCCCACTGGCTATAAGGTGAATGCACCTATTTGTAAGTCACTCTGGATAAGAGCGTCTGCTAAATGACGAAAATGTAATTGTAAAATGTTAACAACAACAGGGGGCAGTGTTGCTCTACTGTACCGGTACCCCCTATTGTGTTATTTTTGATCATTTTTTACTTTTGTTTATTTGGTAAATATTTTCTTAACTCTTTCTTGAACTGCATTGTTGGTTAAGGGCTTGTAAGTAAGCATTTCAAGGTAAGGTCTACACCTGTTGTATTCGGCGCATGTGACAAATAAAGTTTGATTTGATTTGATGCTGATCTACTCCACCAACACCAGGGGGCAGTGTTGACCTACCGTCTGAGCTGATCTACTCTACCAACACCAGGGGGCAGTGTTATCCTACTGTCTGAGCTGATCTACTCTACCAACACTAGGGGGCAGTGTTATCCTACTGTCTGAGCTGATCTACTCTACCAACACCAGGGGGCAGTGTTATCCTACTGTCTGGGAACTGATCTACTCTACCAACCGCAAGGGGAAGTGTTATTTACATTTACATTTACATCATTTAGCAGACGCTCTTATCCAGAGCGACTTACAAATTGTTATCCTACTGTCTGGGAGCTGATCTACTCTGTGGTTCCCACTATGTGTCCAAGCTGCAAAATCTAAATTGGCTGTATAGTAACAATTTATGAGGGCAAGCCAAAGGTTAGAAGTTAAGGTTAAGGTTAGGATTAATGTTAGGGTTAGGTTTAAAAACAGATTTTAAGAAGATCAATTGTAAAATAGGCAGGGCTTCCGACTTCGCCAGATAGTGACGACTGTTCTCTGGCCAGTGCATACTGTATATTCTCAGAATAGAGAAGATTCAGACCACCAGTTCTTTAATGATCCAGAGACCGTGAACAGTGCAAATAACAACTGAAACCCTCACTCGCTCAAGCTTTACTTTAAAAAAGTTAAAGTGCATACATACTGTACATCATATAAACATCCATCCAGTCATCATCCTAACGTGGGTGGTATTATATCCAGGATCTAGAATCATGTAGTCTTGACCTTAAGATACTGACACACAATATTACATTGCACTTTTATTTTTCAGGAAGCAGTTCATTAACTGGGGCAGTAGGGTGGGAGCAACGTTGATGGTTGGAAGGAAACTTTCCTTACTTCTCTTCACACAACACCGGATGGGTTTCAGAATGATGATGTCATTACTCTTCTTCATTAGGCTGATGAGGTATGAGGGAGTTCACGGTCCCCGTAGCTGTAGTTGTAGACATAGTCGGTAACTACAGGAATAGAATACCAACGTAACAGTAGACAAATGGTAAACTATAGGTACTTTTATTTCTATGGAGGTACCTGGGAGAAGAGAAGACCCAGGAGGGTGGAGGCACGGGAGAAGAGAAGAGCAGAGAGGCCCCAGGGATTGGAGGCACGGGAGAAGAGAAGAGCAGAGAGGCCCCAGGGGTTGGAGGCACGGGAGAAGAGAAGAGCAGAGAGGCCCCAGGAGTGTGGAGGCACGGGAGAAGAGAAGAGCAGAGAGGCCCCAGGAGGGTGGAGGCACAGGAGAAGAGAAGAGCAGAGAGGCCCCAGGAGGGTGGAGGCACGGGAGAAGAGAAGAGCAGAGAGGCCCCAGGGGTTGGAGGCACAGGAGGAGAGAAGAGCAGAGAGGCCCCAGGAGGGTGGAGGCACGGGAGAAGAGAAGAGCAGAGAGGCCCCAGGAGGTTGGAGGGAAGGGAAGGCTACAGCCGGCTGGGCAGCCTCCTGACGCCCTGGGCTGGGTTAGTGAACCTCCCAACCCCGCGGCCAGGGGCCCTGCCGCTGGTCATCCCCAGGTACTGCCGGAGGAGCTGGCTCACCCTCTTCTGGTTGTTCCACTTCCTGGCCGACTTCCTGATCCCGATGAACCCTCCGAGGCGTTTCTGCAGTGGCCGCCCCACCGGCCCACCAATCAGCTTCCTATAACCGTGGTGACCTTTCAGGAAGCCCCCGAAATGCTTGGTCAGCTGGACCGCGGCCTCCTCCTCATCTCCTCCCTCCCCCTGGCTGCTCCTCCTCCTGTCCTCTTCCTCCTCCTTCTCCTCCTCCCTGTTCTCCAGAGCCAGGGAGTCTCCCTCCTCGGTCGAGTCCAGCGGGGAGGAGTCGTACTGGGCATCACGTCGCTCCAGGTCCCCCTCTTCCTGGTCTTCTTTGTCCTGCTGGTAGCTCTCCATGGCTGCAGAGTAGAGGAGTTGTCCATCAGACTCCGGGTCTACAGGGCCCAGGGTCAGCTCCTCTGCTGCTCTCTTAGACACAGCGCCACCGTCTGGTGGGAGGTGGTAGTGAGGTAGGACGGCTCGCTGACACAGCTCCCAGGTGAGGGCAGGGGAGACGTGCCCCTCGCACTCCAACAGACACACCTGTGAACAGACAGAGAAGGACAGGGAGGCGTGTTATTAGAGTCTAGACTATACGTCCTCTGCGTCAAGTAGCCCTGTACGTTTGTATGGGTAAAAGGGAGTCATTTGAGACTTATGCACAAACCTGACAGGCCCATGATAACTGTAATTGTTGGTTTTGATGAGGTTAAACGGTAAATCCTGTTAACTAATGAATTAAGGATAGTTGTATGAAAACCAGCTCACATCAAAAGAGAATAGGGAAATATTGATGGAAAATGGAATGGTCTCACCGGGGGACTCTCCCCACGTCAGCAATGTGTGTGTGTGTGTGTGTGTGTGTGTGTGTATGTGTGTGTGTGTGTGTGTGTGTGTGAGTGCATGCCACGTAATGGCCGCATGATCTCTCAGTATGTGGTGGGGAAACTATGTAACACTAAAACAACAAAACCAGGAGCATTCCATCTGGCCTCTAGACGATCCTGATACAATGTGTCAATCATGAATCACTGTCTGCATCCCCTCATAACAGCTAATACAGAGCACCAGTCAATTAGCTGCTATATTACCACAGAGCTCTAACCCCAGCTGCACCAGTCAATTAGCTGCTGTATTACCACAGAGCTCTATCCCCAGCTGTACCAGTCAATTAGCTGCTATATTACCACAGAGCTCTAACCCCAGCTGCACCAGTCAATTAGCTGCTATATTACCACAGAGCTCTAACCCCAGCTGCACCAGTCAATTAGCTGCTATATTACCACAGAGCTCCAAACCCAGCTGCACTAGTCAATTAGCTGCTATATTACCACAGAGCTCCCAACCCAGCTGCACCAGTCAATTAGATGCTATATTACCACAGAGCTCTAACCCCAGCTGCACCAGTCAATTAGCTGCTATATTACCACAGAGCTCTAACCCCAGCTGCACCAGTCAATTAGATGCTATATTACCACAGAGCTCTAACCCCAGCTGTACCAGTCAATTAGCTGCTATATTACCACAGAGCTCTAACCCCAGCTGTACCAGTCAATTAGATGCTATATTACCACAGAGCTCTATCCCCAGCTGCACCAGTCAATTAGATGCTATATTACCACAGAGCTCTAACCCCAGCTGCACCAGTCAATTAGCTGCTATATTACCACAGAGCTCTAACCCCAGCTGCACCAGTCAATTAGCTGCTATATTACCACAGAGCTCTAACCCCAGCTGTACCAGTCAATTAGATGCTATATTACCACAGAGCTCTAACCCCAGCTGCACCAGTCAATTAGATGCTATATTACCACAGAGCTCTAACCCCAGCTGTACCAGTCAATTAGATGCTATATTACCACAGAGCTCTAACCCCAGCTGCACCAGTCAATTAGCTGCTATATTACCACAGAGCTCTAACCCCAGCTGCACCAGTCAATTAGATGCTATATTACCACAGAGCTCTAACCCCAGCTGTACCAGTCAATTAGATGCTATATTACCACAGAGCTCTAACCCCAGCTGCACCAGTCAATTAGCTGCTATATTACCACAGAGCTCTATCCCCAGCTGCACCAGTCAATTAGATGCTATATTACCACAGAGCTCTAACCCCAGCTGCACCAGTCAATTAGCTGCTATATTACCACAGAGCTCTAACCCCAGCTGCACCAGTCAATTAGCTGCTATATTACCACAGAGCTCTAACCCCAGCTGCACCAGTCAATTAGCTGCTATATTACCACAGAGCTCTATCCCCAGCTGTACCAGTCAATTAGCTGCTATATTACCACAGAGCTCTAACCCCAGCTGCACCAGTCAATTAGCTGCTATATTACCACAGAGCTCCATCCCCAGCTGCACCAGTCAATTAGCTGCTATATTACCACAGAGCTCTAACCCCAGCTGCACCAGTCAATTAGCTGCTATATTACCACAGAGCTCTATCCCCAGCTGCACCAGTCAATTAGCTGCTATATTACCACAGAGCTCTAACCCCAGCTGCACCAGTCAATTAGCTGCTATATTACCACAGAGCTCCATCCCCAGCTGCACCAGTCAATTAGCTGCTATATTACCACAGAGCTCTAACCCCAGCTGCACCAGTCAATTAGCTGCTATATTACCACAGAGCTCTAATCCCAGCTGCACCAGTCAATTAGCTGCTATATTACCACAGAGCTCTATCCCCAGCTGCACCAGTCAATTAGATGCTATATTACCACAGAGCTCTATCCCCAGCTGTACCAGTCAATTAGCTGCTATATTACCACAGAGCTCTAACCCCAGCTGCACCAGTCAATTAGCTGCTATATTACCACAGAGCTCTAACCCCAGCTGCACCAGTCAATTAGATGCTATATTACCACAGAGCTCTATCCCCAGCTGTACCAGTCAATTAGATGCTATATTACCACAGAGCTTCACCCCCAGCTGCACCAGTCAATTAGATGCTATATTACCACAGAGCTCTAACCCCAGCTGCACCAGTCAATTAGATGCTATATTACCACAGAGCTTCACCCCCAGCTGAACCAGTCAATTAGCTGCTATATTACCACAGAGCTCTAACCCCAGCTGCACCAGTCAATTAGATGCTATATTACCACAGAGCTCTAACCCCAGCTGCACCAGTCAATTAGATGCTATATTACCACAGAGCTCTAACCCCAGCTGCACCAGTCAATTAGCTGCTATATTACCACAGAGCTCTAACCCCAGCTGCACCAGTCAATTAGATGCTATATTACCACAGAGCTCTAACCCCAGCTGCACCAGTCAATTAGCTGCTATATTACCACAGAGCTCTAACCCCAGCTGCACCAGTCAATTAGATGCTATATTACCACAGAGCTCTAACCCCAGCTGCACCAGTCAATTAGCTGCTATATTACCACAGAGCTCTAACCCCAGCTGCACCAGTCAATTAGATGCTATATTACCACAGAGCTCTAACCCCAGCTGCACCAGTCAATTAGATGCTATATTACCACAGAGCTCTAACCCCAGCTGCACCAGTCAATTAGCTGCTATATTACCACAGAGCTCTAACCCCAGTTGCACCAGTCAATTAGATGCTATATTACCACAGAGCTCTAACCCCAGCTGCACCAGTCAATTAGCTGCTATATTACCACAGAGCTCTAACCCCAGCTGCACCAGTCAATTAGCTGCTATATTACCACAGAGCTCTAACCCCAGCTGCACCAGTCAATTAGCTGCTATATTACCACAGAGCTCTAACCCCAGCTGCACCAGCCAACCGCATCATTATCAGCACTGCTATGTCTCAGAACTACCTGGATTCAAAGAGTATTTTAAATCATTTCAAATACTTGAGCAGGGCTTGATTGACTGGCTTAATGGAACCAATAGAATAGTCCCAAAACTGAAAACTCACCGCCCCCGTCTGGCACTCCAGGCAAGCTCGAGCAAAGACTGAAAGTATTGAAAAGATTTCTAATAGTGTTTGAACCCAGGCCTGCTATTCGCTTCGTGAAGCTGCCTCATTCAGAAGCATAATTAGAATGATTATCTACATTAGCACTGCTACTGCTACATCCCATGAGTCACCCTAATGACAGAATACTCAATTACTGTGCTATCTTGTAAAAGCTGTGTGGTAAAACTTTTTGGGAGAAAAAGTGTTTTTCAAATAAACAATGATGATCACACTACAACTATCATCCATACAGCTATCATCCATCATCCATACAACCATCATCCATACAACTATCGTCCATCATCCATACAACCATCATCCATACAACCATCAAACATACAACCATCATCCATACAACCATCATCCATCATCTATACAACCATCATCCATACAACCATCATCCATACAACTATCAACCATACACCAACACACCATCACCAAAAAACCATCATCCATACACACCAGCATCCATACAAACCCATAGCACAACACACCATCAGCAAACAACCATCACCAACAACCATCAAACATACAACCATCATCCATCATCCAGACAACCATCACCATAAACCACATCCAGACAACTATCATCCTCACCAACAACCATCATCCATACAACCATCATCCATACAACGATCATCCACATCCAACCAAACCATCATCCATACAACCATCATCCATCACAACAAACCCTAATCCATACAACCCTCATCAAACAACCATCATCCATACAACACATCATCCTAACAACCAAACATCCATACAACCATACTACCATCATCCATACAACCATCATCCATTCAACCATCATCCATCATCCATACAACCATCATCCATACAACCATCATCCCTACAACCATCATCCATCATCCATACAACCATAATCCATATAACCATCATCCATACAACCATAATCCATATAACCATCATCCATACAACCAACATCCATCATCCATAGAACCATCATCCATACAACCATCATCCATCATCCATACAACCATCATCCATCATCCATACAACCATCATCCCCATTCTGCATGCGGGACATACACACACACACCCCTCCCACACACACACAGTCACTCACCAGTGTGTTGAATGCTTGCTGCTGGCCCTGGGTCTGGGGGTTGGGTAGGGGTATTAGGAGGCCACAGGCCAGGCAGTCACCCTGGCAATCACTCCGTCCTGGGGAACACAGACATACCACCAGCAGCAGTATGCTCCACAGGGACCACTTCATGACTCACTACTGAGGGAGGGAGGGAGGGACGGATGGGCAACAGGGACAGGAGGAGGGTGGAGGCCCGAGGGTGTAGGGTGTAGGGTGTAGGGTTTATGGAGGAGGGCACAGGCTGGTGGGAAGACACAGAGGAGAGAGGGAAGGAGAGGTGAGGGAAAGGAGAGGTGAGGGAAATGAGAGGTGAGGGAAAGGAGAGGTGAGGGAAAGGAAGGTGAGGGAAAGGAGAGGTGAGGGAAAGGAGAGGTGAGGGTGAGGAGAGGTGAGGGAAAGGAAAGGAGAGGGAAATGAGAGGTGAGGGAAAGGAGAGGTGAGGAAAGAGAGGTGAGGGAAATGAGAGGTGAGGGAAAGGAGAGGTGAGGGAATGGGTGAGGGAAAGGGAGGTGGGGAAATGAGAGGTGAGGAAAGAGAGGTGAGGGAAGGAGAGGTGAGGAAGGAGAGTGAGGAAAGGAGAGGTGAGGGAAATGAGAGGTGAGGGAAGGGAGGTGAGGGAAACTGAGGGTGAGGGAAATGAGGGTGAGGGAAGGAGAGGTGAGGAACGGAGAGGTGCGGGAAAGGGTGAGGAAAGGAGGTGAGGGAAGGTAAGTTTGAAAAGGAGAAAAGAGGAGGTCATTTCAAAATGTTAATTTCAAAGGGGTGAGCAGGGGCACTACAACAACAACACCAACAACAACAACAACAACAACACCAACAACAACACCAACACCAACACCATCAACCAACACCAACAACAATAGAGAAAAGTGAAATAGGTCAGGTGTGTCCACTTTCTAGAGACGATAGATAGACCTGTAGGGCCCGTTTTGTAAAGTCAATGGTGACATGACAGAGTTCTCAATCGGCCTATAGCAATGCAGGAGCAGCTGTTTCCCACATAGTGCAATGCGTTCATTAAAGAGCTACAAAGAGAGGTTCATTATCAGCCTCAGTAATTGTAGTATAAATTAGCTGCCTCTTGGTTTTAATGGGGAGGAAATTAATGAGAGCGAGGAAACAAGAAAAAAAAGAGAGAGAATGAAGAGAGATGTGGGGGAACGCGAAGAAGGAAGGCGCTGCGCTGCGCTCACGATCCGACCAACTAACAAAGCTTTGCGCCTCTGACTCACATTGCCACCATACCCCTGCATTAGTCACCAACTTAAGGCCCAGGCTCTTTACTCCTGCATTAGTCCCAAATGGAGTCCCAAATGGCACCCTGTTCCTATGGGGCTCTGGTGAAAAGTAATGCACTATATAGGGAATAGGGTGCCATTTGGTGGAATTGTCTGATCATGAAGATAATAAGGCATTAAGATGTCATAATATGACAGTCGCTTTGGTCTTTCCAGCGTTCGAAAAATGACAGACTAGGTAAGGTGATTTTCAGAGGGAAATGATTAAAAACGATAAAAATTCTCTCATACCTATTAAATCTCACGCATCGTTAATGTTTCTTGATTAATTTTTGAGAAGTGACTTGATGGAGAGTTTTTTTTTTCATGATCTTCTACTTGATAATAACTGTTTCATGTGTTTGTTTGAAATAAGTGTCTGCAGGGGAGAGGACAGTTCTTCAAGAAATGGCTACACTCTTAGAAAAAAAAGGTGCTATCTATAACGTAAAATGGTTCTAGGATGTAGCTCAGTTGGTAGAGCATGGCGTTTGCAACGGCAGGGTTCGATTCCCACGGGGGGCCAGTATGAAAAAAAAAAAATCAAAATAAATCATGTGTGCACTCACTAACTGTAAGTCGCTCTGGATAAGAGCGTCTGCTAAAATGACTAAAATGTAAATGTAAATGTTCTTCCACTGTTCCCATAGGAAAACCCTTTGAATAACCATTTCCACAGAGGGTTCCACATGGAACCCAAAATGTTTCTATCTGGAACCAAAAATGGTTATCCTATCGGGATAAAGAAAGATATACAGTGGGGGGAAAAAAGTATTTAGTCAGCCACCAATTGTGCAAGTTCTCCCACTTAAAAAGATGAGAGAGGCCTGTAATTTTCATCATAGGTACACGTCAACTATGACAGACAAAATGAGGGGAAAAAATCCAGAAAATCACATTGTAGGATTTTTTATGAATTTATTTGCAAATTATATGGTGGAAAATAAGTATTTGGTCAATAACAAAAGTTTCTCAATACTTTGTTATATACCCTTTGTTGGCAATGACACAGGTCAAACGTTTTCTGTAAGTCTTCACAAGGTTTTCACACACTGTTGCTGGTATTTTGGCCCATTCCTCCATGCAGATCTCCTCTAGAGCAGTGATGTTTTGGGGCTGTCGCTGGGCAACACAGACTTTCAACTCCCTCCAAAGATTTTCTATGGGGTTGAGATCTGGAGACTGGCTAGGCCACTCCAGGACCTTGAAATGCTTCTTACGAAGCCACTCCTTCGTTGCCCGGGCGGTGTGTTTGGGATCATTGTCATGCTGAAAGACCCAGCCACGTATCATCTTCAATGCCCTTGCTGATGGAAGGAGGTTTTCACTCAAGATCTCACGATACATGGCCCCATTCATTATTTCCTTTACACGGATCAGTCGTCCTGGACCCTTTGCAGAAAAACAGCCCCAAAGCATGATGTTTCCACCCCCATGCTTCACAGTAGGTATGGTGTTCTTTGGATGCAACTCAGCATTCTTTGTCCTCCAAACACGACAAGTTGAGTTTTTACCAAAAAGTTCTATTTTGGTTTCATCTGACCATATGACATTCTCCCAATCCTCTTCTGGATCATCCAAATGCACTCTAGCAAACTTCAGACGGGCCTGGACATGTACTGGCTTAAGCAGGGGGACACGTCTGGCACTGCAGGATTTGAGTCCCTGGCGGCGTAGTATGTTACTGATGGTAGGCTTTGTTACTTTGGTCCCAGCTCTCTGCAGGTCATTCACCAGGTCCCCCTGTGTGGTTCTGGGATTTTTGCTCACCGTTCTTGTGATCATTTTGACACCACGGGGTGAGATCTTTCGTGGAGCCCCAGATCGAGGGAGATTATCAGTGGTCTTGTATGTCTTCCATTTCCTAATAATTGCTCCCACAGTTGATTTCTTCAAACCAAGCTGCTTACCTATTGCAGATTCAGTCTTCCCAGCCTGGTGCAGGTCTACAATTTTGTTTCTCGTGTCCTTTGACAGCTCTTTGGTCTTGGCCATAGTGGAGTTTGGAGTGTGACTGTTTGAGGTTGTGGACAGGTGTCTTTTATACTGATAACAAGTTCAAACAGGTGCCATTAATACAGGTAACGAATGGAGGACAGAGGAGCCTCTTAAAGAAGAAGTTACAGGTCTGTGAGAGCCAGAAATCTTGCTTGTTTATAGGTGACCAAATACTTATTTTCCACCATAATTTGCAAATAAATTCATTAAAAATCCTACAATGTGATTTTCTGGAAATAAAAATCAAATTGTCTGTCATAGTTGACGTGTACCTATGATTAAAATTACAGGCCTCTCTCATATTTTTAAGTGGGAGAACTTGCACAATTGGTGGCTGAATAAATACTTTTTTCCCCCACTGTATAAACAATTTCCTTTAAGTATAATTTTTTTTAAAGTTCTAATGTTTTTGTACCCACTACAAGAAAAAATACTTAAATAAATGTAATTTTGTCCTTGAAATGTTTAAAGGGTTTAGAAGCCTTTTCTTTCTATTACTCAGCTCACTTCACTTGGATTTACAACGAGGTGTGCCAACAGCACTTTTCTGAATGGGCTTCAACATATTTGACAATACAAACTCTGTAGAAGAGCTTGGCTGAGTGAGTGCAGTAGTCTGTCAGAGTGTCTGTTAGCAGTCGTGCTGGAGGAGAAAATGTGAAATGACTAATCTATATCTGCGCGAGAGAGAATGTGCTAATCCTATTAGAACACGTCTGTCTTGTTTTCTCCTCCCAGGGTAGGACTAGCTGATTATATCAGCCGCTGGAAAAAAAAACAGCAGCGCACTCCTGTCTCCAGACCTGGGTTCAAATACTATTTGAAATCATTTCAAATACTTTAGCTGGGAGTGATTAAGGATTTCTGGTGCAATAAACCAACATAAATGTCGCAAAACTGAAAACACTTCCCTCTTGGAACTCCACACAGACTAAAGCAAACTCTCAAGGTATCTGAAAGATTTCAAATAGTGTTTGAAACCAGGTCTGCAACATCCCTGTACCGATCCTAACCCTGCAGTGTGGATCCACAGAGCTGTGGTATCACACAGGAGCAGGTTAAATCACTGTCAAAGAGCAGAAGCTGGGGATATGGGATAGGTACAGTATGTACTGTATTAAGGATTAATGTCAAGGTGAAGGAAGACATGAGACTGTGCAGGTACTGATTGTAACCCAGTGAGCAAAATGGGTTAAAAGGCAACATCAACCTTTTTTTGCCCACTGATAAGTGTCTCTGGATGAGAACGTCTGTCAAATGACTAAAATGTAAATAGAAATGTCAATTTAATGTCAGGAGGAATAGAGCCAAACCAATGTCTGTATAGGGAAATAACTATGAGAGGAGTGTTCAGTTCAGTTATACTGTTCAGGTCCCACTGGGCAAAAACTGGTTCAATCAACGTTGTTTCCACGTCATAAAAAAAAAAAAGCAATGTGATGACGTTGACTCAATGTGGAAAACTGATTGGATTTGCAAAAAGTCTTCAAAGTAAAGATGCATTTTTTTTGTTGATTTCATGTTGAATTCACGTTAGTTGACAACTCAACCAAATGTACATCAAAACTAGACGTTGAACTGACGTCTGTGTCTAGCGGGATGTTGCCTTTAGAGGTAGTTTCATCACGAGTAGCCCTGCTGTTGGAATTAGCACTGTCTCCATGTCTGTTGAAATTAGCACTGTGTCTAGGTCTGTTGAAATTAGCACTGTGTCTAGGTCTGTTGAAATTAGCACTGTGTCTAGGTCTGTTGAAATTAGCACTGTGTCTAGGTCTGTTGAAATTAGCACTGTGTCTAGGTCTGTTGAAATTAGCACTGTCTCTAGGTCTGTTGAAATTAGCACTGTCTCTAGGT